TATTGTGTAATAACATTGAAAGTTTCCAAGTTTTTATTAACAGGTTGATGCTAACGTATTACAAATAAATATAAGCATCAGAGCATATTTCCTTACTCAAAGGTAGCAAACCTACCACTGGTATAATACCGGTAATGATACAGGTAAAGATGACAGCATTGATAACTGGGTTTACAGCATGGTTGCATTGTTAGTGTCAGATTGTTATCTGATAAAGTTTGCTACTAGTACCTAGGAACAAAAGGTCTGGCACTTGACAATCAAGTTGATAAAATCACAAAACGCCTGTAGAAAATAGTGCATACCTGCCCAACATTGATTTGTTCAGATTCTTGACTAAGGGGTGCATTACTAGTGTCAAGGGCCAAGACTTGAACTTAGGGGTTTGGCATGTCACTGGACATTCCTCTCGATTTCTGCCCAAATCTAATAAAGCCTCAGTTGCTTAACTTTCGCCAAATTTCCAATATCTACAGGTCGTGTTGTTTAATGCTTGGGGTCTCTTCTCTGGCGGCGGTAAATTGGGGACACCTGTGCGGCCTGTCAACGCACCAAGACCCACTTTTGCCAGTGTCACATTTTCCATTGCCGTAAATATCAATTTTGTGAAAAGAATGAGGAATAATGACAGTTATGAAAAATGTTTGGAAGTACCTGTCACCTTCGCAACAGTATCATGGGCTGTGCTGCCCCCCCACCACAGGCGACACCTTGCGGAGCAAGCGTGCGTAATCCAGGGTGCAACTGAAAATAACCTTGTCGCGCGACCTTATTGCATCCTAATGTCCACTAAGGTAAAGCTAGTGTCAACTCTGTTCTAAATGATCACAGACACTGTTCCTCTATGTTCATAAAAGACACAGCTGTTCACTTATTGTGCATTCGAATTCCAGCAAATATCGCGAACATCTGAGTAAACAGTCACAGGCGATCCATCGTATTCGACTATGACACCCGTTCTGAAAATTTTAAACATTATCACAAGAGAGAGCAAAGCGTTTTTAATTGAATCGATTTTAGTATCGTAGCTGTATTCTAGCCCCTGATATTCTTGCCGAGTGTAATAATACTTCTTTTTCCTAGCTATGACCGAGTTCTAATTTCTCCAAAGTGAGGCATCGACAGGTCGAAGCAAGATTGTAGGCTTGTAAAATGGGATTTCTTTTATAAAGTTTATAGCGTGGCAAGCATCACAACTATTTTTTTATTATTTCTAAATAATAATAATAATAGTAATAATAATAATAATAATAATAATAATAATTATAATAATAATAATAATAATAATAATATATTCAACTCTAACATCTTTAAAAGTTTATGAGACTTCACAATGATAAAACGCTAAAACATTGCAGTATTAAAAACAAACTGTAAAATCACAGTAAAGGCGTCAACTTACATGTATAGTTTTGCACTTAAAAAGCTTTAACCATAAAATTTATTTGAAAATGGCGCTAAACCATAATAGTTAACACATTAGATAAAATATAAATTTAAAATGACATTTATTGTTTAAACTTAAATCAACTTCAATTTCTTAAAATGATGTGTTATGTGTTGTTTTCTAAAACCATATTTTTATGCTGAAGGGCAATATCTTCCATTGCACTACAGCCGATACCTGTCACCTGCTTTCAGTCTGCCAGTTCTTTGTTTAAAAAATAAGTGATCAGATGAACGCAACTGACGCGAAGGAGAATAAATAGAAAACAATCTACAATGAAAACAATTTTATTGTTCTTTTTAATAAATTACCTGAAACTGATCCATTGTAAAAATAATAGCCTCAATCACACCAAAAATGCTTGCGTGACCAAGGTCACTGGTGTGTGTGTGTGTGTGTTTTATTGACGTTGATGACCTTACTCCGGGTAGGTTGGTCATTTAAGGACGATTATCTGTACTAATAAAGGGTCAATAAAATTGGTGTGAAAACAAACAAACCTTCAGGACAATTTGAATTTTCACAAGATTCTAGTTTCTATTGCGCCTTCGAGAGATAAGAACTGGTGGTCAAAACGCGAAAATCGAAATTTGAACGTGATGTCCGTCATATTTGTTGTCCAGACGTCCAGATAAATAGCTATACATTTTGAATCAGAACTTATTATTTGTAAGTTTTAAACCTAAAATGTATCCAGTCGCAGTTTAACAATAGACCCAAATACTCACTGCACTTTTTTCTCATGTACACAATACAAGGAAACTGTTTTTTCCATAATGTGCTTTCCAGTTTGTGTGCCTTCCAGGAAAATAATCATGTTCATGACTTTGTAATATTTTAATTGATCTTTAACTTTAAAGTTACTGTTGCCGATACGGCAGAAATTACATAGTTATTATTTTAATTTATTTCCACGATGTTCTTATGTTTATTTAGATTGTGTTAGATGAGAAACTACTAACACAGCTCAATTAGGTAACATCTGTTCAATTATTCATGTGGTCAACCGTATAAAAGGCGATGTCACACGTGCTCTGCGCGGTCATTTATTACTTATACCCCCTTTACACTGGACGGCGTCCTTTCTGCGTCCTTTCTGCGACCATGAAATTTGGCATCGCTGTGGTCTTAATAAGGAGGCACAAGCATCGATTTTGTATCAGAATGAATGCTCAATGATCGGCCAGTTGTCGGCCGTAAAGTATTACAATTTTTTTAACTCTCAAATGGGGCCGTACTGCTGGACGCAGAAAGGACGCCGTTCAGTGTAAAGGGGGCTTTACTGGCAGAGTGAAGGTATGGTTTGATATAACATTTACCTCTGTAAAATTTATGTATTTAATACAGTGTAATTTATATTTCACTTTATATAGAAGTATTTTGTGTAATTTACATAAATTTACATGTTTTTGATAATTATAGTCAGTAATGTAGGCTAAAGGCATTGTGTTTATCAAAGTGAATGTTGAAATGGGTGTGGCATTTTCATGAACAATACGTACATGCATTTTTTTCGTCAAATAAAATTACAGTAACAGCTCGGATAGTCATGGCCGTCTCTGGGCAGCCAGTTGGCAGCGGAAAAACGGGTATGGATATTGTTTTAGTGAAAGTGTTTGAAGTTAAATAATTAGTGAAATAAACTTTACACGTATGTAAAGATTTTTTTAGATCACATAAATTAAATTACTTAGTATATTAAGTTTATTTATTTCAATATTTCACTGTGTTGTTCTTATTATTTTTCTTTTTATAGTTTTCACCAGTTTCTGTTCAGTTTCTGTTCAGTTCAGTTCTGTTTAGTTGAATTCGGCTGTGAACAGTTCATACTGCGTGAATGAACAGCAGTCATATCCAACGGTGTTTCTTTGTTTTGTCACGTGGTCTGCTACAGTTACATTTGAAGCGAGTGCGGATTCCATAGGATGCATAACAACTGCTACCCGTTTCGGATGTCCCTACGATTCAGAAAAGAATCTACATGTACATACCGGGGGATTAACTGTATTAAAATCTGGATCAGCCAAAAATATCTTTAAAAACTTTTTTCAGTTTCTGGTCTTAAACTTGACCTATTAATCAGTCCCTCCAGTTCACAAAACCCAATCTGGAAATGACGTATTAATGAATGTATGACGCGTTAGGGATTTTGTTGCGCGCGCAATGACATACATATTTTACTCATGGGTTAAATACACAGCACAGAAAGAGTGCAAATATCTGTTCAGAAGGCTTTTTTCGGGAAATGTGAGACGATATAACCTTTGGAACTTCTAAAAGTTATACTATTTGAACTTCAGGTATATATTGGCTTTTGGTTGCGATTACCTGCAAAGATTTAACTCTAATTTCAACTTATTTTATTGGGATAATCCATATAACATTACATTACATGCTGTTCTTCGTCATTAGCAAAATATTACCATATCAGATCACATATATGAATAGGCTATATATATATATATATATATATATATATATATATATATATGTGTGTGTGTGTGTGTGTGTGTGTGTGTGTGTGTGTGTGTGTGACATATTGTTAAAGGCAACAATGATTGTGGGTATTTGTCGTCAGCTACTTTATCTAAATCATTACTGAGCGAGATCAAGAATTTTACCAAGGGGCTAGGACTTCTGAAAAGCTGTGTAGGGGGTATCCGTCACCCTTTTCCCTATGAGTTTGGTACTTTGCGTGTGATTTTAATTATTTACATAATTCAAAGCCCGTGCTTCCCATACTGCGTTGCGTTCATATAATCCGCCTCATGCCCTTGACCTTTAAATCAGATCACGTGACTTATTGCGACCCCACTGTTGAAACACCATTTATAATAGTCAAACATATAACTGAATGATATCGTAATTTGGATTTTTAGCACTCTGGTTAGTAAATCTATTAATTTTATCCTGGCAAATACACCATATAAGTTAAAAAACACATGTTCATAAAATAATAAGAAAGCAAAATGCAATTTATGCTTTGCAACCGTTTTATTTAACCCACTTATTAAGATTTTACAGACAAAAAATATATTGGAAATACTAATAGGTAATGGAGGAAGTGAAGGAATATCAAGACAAACAGAACTGGAAACGTTAACTTAGTCTATAGGGTATAGTTCTACATCTGATACATCCAGTACGCCAACTAATACAGCTGTACTTGTGAAGCGCATCAACAAAGTATGAAGGCGCAGTTCTCTGAAATATGCCCCGATGAACCTCAGTGTTATTGTCTTATCAATATTAGGCCCAATACTACGACCCCCGTCGCATTTTAGTCTTGGTTATAGCAAGTTAGTTACGTCTTAATTGCAATATTATTTTTGTACCCAAAAATTCATGTGAATTCATCATTAACGAACAAAAACCCAAAAGCAGGCAGTACAGCAAAGTTAAGTCAATGGATAATATTGAAAGAATCAAAAAGTAACATTTATATATATCTTGATCACAAATAGGGATTATATGTTTTCAAATCAAGAACGATCATCCAAACAGTCCGTCTGTAAGCTCCAGTCTACCAGCTGAACAAGGTCCAGATAGTCATTTATTCTATGATATCTTCATCACCCACAATGCGGAAAGTACCACCAGTGTAGCGATTTTTGCTGTAAAAGAATCGAGAGGTATTGACATAAAATGCTCTGAATGACAAAGATCATTTGATTGATTTTGACGATCATTTCTTTTAAAAGGAAATTAGATATCAAAGTTCTCTTTTTGGCTGATAAAAAAAAAAATTACTCGATTCAAGAAGACTATCAATTCCAAATAACGAGGACGTGATAATATGAAAACACTCTCTGGAATGGTAAGAAATCTGGCATTTGTCAATCTATCATCGTCTGAAAAACCATGTGTATGTCATTAACGGATAAGGTCCTATTCAATTCAGTTGAGAGATGTATTTTTGCATTTTATAGTACTGTTACACTTTGAGAGGTCCTAACATGGAATCACAAATCTACGATATTTACTCCCTTTCACCAATATCTATCTATCTATCTATCTATCTATATCACTTACTTTCGCGAGGTCAAACCAAAACGGGTAACTCCTTCATAAGGGCCATCGTAGGTAAGCCCCACCGCGAGGAAAAAGCCACCTTCAGCATTTTCATCAAGACCGGCGTGGATGACAGCACGGCAGACATGGGAGTTCTGGAAATGAAGAGAGGACCAAAGGTCAACCAATAGCAACATAAGTGTGTGTATAACGTGCTCCTAAAAATATGTTTACGAAAATAACTAATTGCGTAAATATTATGGAAAATAAACGAAAATATAATGAAGATTTTAAAAAAAGCAATAAATAAATACACAGAGCAACAAAGTAAAATCAAAATTAACATTTTTAAAGAAAATAAGACTACATAGGTACGTAAAAAAAATAAATAATGACATTATATAAATGAGTATAAAAATGAAACGTGCAATTCAACGAGAGAGAGAGAGAAAGAGAGATATAGAAAGGGGATATATCATTCTTAGATTGCAGTATTCCTTACTGCGGTGTAAGTATCATTGCCAAACAGTTTTCCAGCCTCGTTACATCCAGGTGGACACCAGAACCTGGAATGAAATGCAAAATTATGTCCGCATTGTCACGCTGAATGAACTTGTAAATACACAAGGCTGCAATTGAACTGGTTGATAGAAATCATCTTTTATGTATATGAAAAAAAAAAAACAGCACTGCACAGATCTCGTTTGTAATTTACATGAATACATCCGATACAAATTACAAAAACGATGTGTAAAAACGCAAAAGCTTTCGGCATTAACGCTCTTCTGATGGACTGTAGAATAAATATAATATTTTATTTATTCAACTGTTCCTGTAGAAGGCGCATATTTCCAGAGCTTGGGCATTTTAATACACAGTTTTATCTTACTAATACAGATACATTTTCATCAATTTATCATTAAAAAATGACAAAAAGTGATTACCGTGAATCTAATCGTGATTAGCAGAATCACTGTCACGCATGCGCAGTTAGGCCGAATACCGGAAAAGATACCTTTCACTTACTTGCATATTACTCCGTCGTCAAGCTGAAGTTTGCCGCAGCTTCGTTTCCAATTGGTCGAACAGGTCTGCTTGAGGACATCGCAACCGTTTCCATACTTCTTCCAAGATCTGCAGCGGCAAACCTGGCCGCCGTCCGTGTAATTCAGACAATCTCCCTTGCAGCTGCGACTTTCACAAGCTAATGAAACAAAATGAAAATAATGTAACAGATTGCTTTCATTCATTATTCAGTATTTTATTCACCGTTAGAAAGGAAATAAAGATGAAGATATTTGTACGACCCCGGCACATAGTTATTATAGAATTATATAAATTGGCCAAAGAATTGATATATTTTAAGTGTGGCCTCTTTACAAACGCTTTAAAACAAATAAGGTTATGAAGTACTAAAGTAGATCAGATAATAAAAAATAACAACGCATTTAAATTTTAGTAATTTGTTTGGCCTACTGAGTATTGAAACCAAGACGTCATGAGATTCAATTTCGTACAGTTGGATTTCTCTACTTTACTATAGACCCTTATTCATAAGTAAACAGAATATATAATTTTATTCAATTTAATACAGATGGAACAATAAAAATTACAGAGAAGTATATATATCCATAGAGTTTATTTTGACTTTAAAATCAATTGTTTCCAAATTTGTTCTTCTTTAAACTGTTCAAGATAAACCCACAATGACCTAATCCAATCCAATTAATATGTATTGCACTTACAGTTCAGACTTTTCTTGTTATACAGATGCTGCAAGTTTTTATTGGACAATTTTCAATTTTTGAATTTATCTTGGGTCAACACAGGCTGTAAATTCAGTATAAATTTTAAGACCTATCACTTTGTGGACTTATGCTTCTTGCTATAGTATAAATGGTACTCACTTGGTAATTCTTCCTCTTCGGCTACAGCTTAAATATAAGAAATTGACTATTATTTAGAATATTCTAAATAATATATATAATTCTGATAATATTATTTGTAACCAGCAATGAGACGGTAGTGTAGTGCGGTTATACACATATATAAGTTATTTATATAAGGTGTACACTGTAGGATATTATAAATCAGTATGGAAATTTATCTAGTTCTTGAAGAGATGGTTCTGATATTTTAAATTTTCTGTCATATCCATGAACACTTTTTGTCACAGTGGCTTTTCTTTATCAAATAAATGCTTCAGTTTCATTGGAATTGCTAACGTTGATTATTGCCTGAGTGTATACACATTGTAACACAGCTCCTAAAGCTCCTAAAATACATAACTACACGTATGTTGTTTTCAAATCTATAACCAGTTAAATGACGCATGTGCATTGGGTAATACATTTGGGTACTTAACATTCAATGATTGTCTCGCCTGACCACACTTTTTTAATAATAGTCTACTTTATTCACTCACAAACGGGTGAAATAAACAAGAATGTTTGTCATCATTAACGATAAACGTTTTACCAGTGCACGTTCTTCCGTCTCCTTCAAATCCTTCAGAGCATGCGCACTCGAAACTTCCGGCAGTGTTGATGCACACGGCATCTGAATGGCAGTCGTGATCATCGTTGCTGCACTCATCGATATCTGGAAATATTCGATGTTTTAAGTACTGGGACCACAGTTACAATAGTATACGATTCTAATTATTTTTGATAGCAATTGCTTTTTTTTCTTTATATTAAGGCCCCCTGAATGCATAAAAGTTAAAAAAAAAAAAAACATGAATGAATATTGACATATACGCAATAAGAAATGTTGCTTTGGCAATACCTGTGCATTCCAAACCATCGCCTTCATAGCCTTCAGCGCATGCGCATTCAAAGCTACCTTCAGTGTTAGTACACTGGGCATTGACATCACAGTTTGTGCCTGGGAGGCACTCGTCCACATCTACAACGATGACGATTATTTTATTTTATGCATATACATAGCAATGGTTTCAGTTTCGTTCAGTCTGTCCGGGGACATACCAGTCCTTTATAAACGGTACCTGCTGTCTCCCCGCTTGGCACTCAGCACTAAGGGGTTGAAGCAGGGGCCTGGTCAGGCAGTGTAGAAATGATATATTAGCTCTGAGCACCTAATATGGCAGCCGAACTGTATTCTCCCCAGGGAGGTGAGACCGTCTACAGAGTGCACCAGTGCAAAAAATGACCAGGCTTCCTTGACTTGAATATTCATTTCATTTAAATAAATAAATTTACATAATTGTATAACTTCAACCTTCGGGTTGCGATTTCCCAATAAAAATTATTATATTATTATTAAATTGTACTTTGTCCTACCTGACAGGTTTTATAAATACCTTTATATTTGTATTGAAAGTGCTCATAAAAATGTGTTTTCAGCACTCTTTAGTCTTGGAAGAAAAAAACCATTTGTAAAAAATCAAAACTTAAATAGTATCTTCCGTAAAGAGTAGAAATTTCCCAGTACATACACTGTACTGAATAAGAGCACGAAGTTCTCTATTTTGATGGGATAAAAACGTGAAGCTCAGTTGTCTTACCAACACACTGTCCATCGTCTCCCATGGTGTAGCCTTCTGCGCATGCGCACTCATAACTGCCCACGGTGTTGGTGCATACGGAGTTAGGCCCACAAACTTCCGATTCTTCGCACTCATTAACATCTACATGAGAAAAATGGCCCATTTACAAATGTTTAAGTTGAGGAATGGATTTTAGCTTCACGCACAGTATCACTGTATTTCATTAAAACAAACAAAAATAATGATTACACAACAATCAAGACGTAATGCCAGTGGCCGTTACCTAATTATCCCTGTAAGGTCCGTTTTGTTACTCAGTTTGTAAGTACCTGTTTACGCCAAAGCAAACCAGAGAGAGGCATTTCATAATATCTCCCCCCACCCGAAAAAAAAAAACCTGGACATATCCATGAGAACATTTTGTCACAGTGGTTTTTCTTTATTAAATAAACTTTTTCAGTTTCATTGGAATTACTGACGTTTATTATATGCCTTTAAGTATAAAAGCTGTCTTATTCCAAGAAAAAATGTCTTTCTGATATCTTGTCAAACGAATAACTCATAAAAAATAAAGACAACTATATCCAACTAAATAAAAATACGACTAATTATACAGAACAATGCAAAATTATCGGTGAAAAAACACATAAAAATAAGCAATTTACTTAACTCATGAAACTATATGTTAAAAAGACACGGAAAAATAAAGGATGAATAATAAGAGAAAAACAATGTAAATCACGAAAAAATAAATGAGAAACCCAAAACCTATGAAAGAAGATCGAGAAATAAAACTCACACCTACTCGAAAGATGTCTTTCTCCAAGACATATGACAAACGACAAACGTCTTTCTGACAGAGTGTAAAATGAAAAACTGATCTTCGGAAAGAGAGAATAGGAACAAAGAACACGAACCCTCGAAAAACTCGGAACCTTTCGAAAAAAAAAAAAACACACGAACACACACTAATGAATCCGTTCACGGACGCAATTATTAGTTCATCTCTAAAGCATTTCGCAGCCTGTAACAATTTGATGAATAAGTAACTAAAAAAATACACTACCTCAAAGAAGTATGATAACAGCTCTGCCTTGGGCAAAATTGGTACCCTTACCTTCGCAGATATGACCGTTGCCTTGGTAACCGTCCATACACTCGCACGTGTAATTTCCATCTGTATTTGCGCAATCTGCATTGACGTCACAATCGTGTGTGCCGGCGGAACATTCGTCTTCGTCTGCCATTGCAAATATATAAAGATGTATAGTTTGCAAAAACAGAATACAAAAGAAAACCGAAAACGTTGACTTAAGGTTCCTTTTTACTCGTGCAAATCTCGCAATGTAGTTTTCTAAGTAGTACGTACCCCCCTCCCCCATCCCCGAGAGACCCCCCTCCAAGATTCTCCTGGCAGCTTACTTCCTACAAACTTCGTAAACAGTGTGATGATGTGAGCATTGTCTAGATAAATAACCTGATAACAAACTTAACATGATTCTATTTTAATTAAGTTTGTCTATTGTCCTTTGCCAATGTGTGCATTAATCATAAGTGGAGGATTTCGGGGGGGGGGGGGGGGTCAGTTGGGTCAGGTCCACCAAGCTATCCCCCCCTTCGCTTTCTGAAAAAAAATGACACTAATGGTCCCCTCTTGAAATTAGAATTTTGGCTAACTAAATCATAGTTCTTAACCGTACCAAATAGCACCGTACGCCCGCTAAGTTACCAAAACTTTACGGGGCCCTACAGCGGGCCCTAACCCTACGCTAAGCCCCACCCACCCCTTCAAATAATCCTGGATCCGCCCCTAGTCATTCAGTGTAAATCAGAGCTACATTTACTTTATAGCTACTTTTAATGTACCTTGACATATTGTAATTAAAACAAATGGATTTAAAACAGACATAACATAAAGCAACTGATACGTACACCACATGAAACACCAGAGCACGCGGCATCTTACCTAAACTCTACCGTTAACTGATTGTACAGTTATTTTTTATACATTTAAACCTCACCTTCACACTCGTGGCCATCCCCATCATAACCGTTGTGACATGAGCACGTGTAACTGCCTGGGGTGTTGGTACAGATGGCGTTGGCGTCACAGGTATGTGCCCCACGTTCACATTCATTTATGTCTGAAACATATGTAGCAAAGGCAAAGGAAGCTATCAATGTCTCATATACCATTTTACTGTGTTAAAGGCATGTAAAAAAAACATGGGTTTTATCATTTAATCCCCCTATACACTGGGCGGCGTCCTTTCTGCGTTATTTTGTACGACTATGAAAATGGCATCGCCGTGGTCGTAAAAAGGGGGAACAGCATATCTTTGGTTGCAAAATGAATGCTCAGTTATCGGCCAGTTGTCGGCACGTAAAGTTTTTTTTTTTTAACTCAAACAGCGCCGTTTTAGGGACTCAGATAGGACGCTGTCCAGTGTAAAGGGTCTTTAATGAATTACCGGTTTTAAAAGTATAATATTTCCATAAAAATTAAGTGCAAGTAAGATTATTGTGAATTAACTTTATATTATTTGATGTATGAATTACAAAGAAATGATCTACAAATAAATGATCGATTCTTCTGTATGCCGACCCTAACAAAAATCTTTCATGGTAACGATTTTTCCCTGCTAATTCTCGAAGTAATTGCTTAACAAAATGTATCACCTAATTCAATGTATCATTTTAAACATACGTTGTGTTTTGAAACGAATATCGCCTGCATTCTAAAGATATCTACAGATTAATCTATGTATAGCCAAATAATCCATTATTCAAAAATACAATAAGTAAATTAAATAAAGGAATTATGCAATGTTCACATGACATTTACAAATTGAGAAAAAACACACACCTGTACATTGGACACCATTGCCATGGAACCCCTCTCTGCAAGTGCAGGTGAAGCTTCCCTGTGTGTTTTCACAGTTAGCATTAACGTCACAATTGTGAGTGCCATGCGTGCATTCATTTTGATCTAAAATGATGAAGAATAATTAGATGGTTGTGACAGTGCATAGGGCAATATACAGAGAGAAAGAGAGAGAGAGAGAATATAGCATGTGTGTGCGTGTGTGTTACATGTATACATTTATGCATTGCATCATGAGCATTTTTAAGGAACGCTGCTCTTAGTTTTATAATGGTGGTCAATTCCGTGTTTTAAACTTACACATACTAGACAATATTTGGTCTGAGGACAGCTATGAACTGACAAAATAAAAGAGTCACCATTGGCCTATATTTTGGCCAATCAACGATACCTGTGCACGTGAGTCCGTTCCCAGCATACCCGGAGTTGCACGAACATCTGTAACTTCCTATGGTATTGATGCAGTTAGCGTTGGAGGAGCAGCTGTGATCTCCATTTGTACATTCATTGATATCTGGAATGGATATTCCTTCATTTTGAATGTGTATTTGCCATTTATTAATTTACACCCATATGTTTTTATCCACAGAGGCGCAAGGACAATCAGGGGTTTATTCATAAAGCAATTGATTGCTTAGGCGACTGGCCTAAGAGGGCTAATCTTAGACTCTGTGGATTCTCTTAAAAATACATTTTTTTTTTCAAAACTGACCTGACATTAATTTATAGCGCACGTCAAATCGACCGTTTTCTGAGGTGTCCTTTTTTCGTTTCCGTTTCAGGTGGAATAAATTGTGATGACCGTGGTTTTTGTGGTATACTGTACACAGGTTGGTAGGTTTTAGGAAAGCAAGCATTCGTTTTGGGGGAACTTATCAACGCTTTTGGCCGTAATCAACAAGGCGTGACATATCCAAAACCGTTCACAGAAGTAAACAAGAATGCCTTAAAATTCGAATTTTGGTTGTTTCCTCACGGTTATTGAGACCAATGAATTCAACTCGTTAGGGCAAAATTCTCAAATTCAGACCTCGAGAATTGGTTTATACATGAAAATCGTGGCTTTTCTAAACTTCTCAACAACTTTGTTATGGCAGACCTGCAGGTAGATAAGAAAAGAAAAATTCTGAAATTTCAAGGATATTATTTTCCACCAATTTGAGCTCTGACACGTATTGTATGCCTTTGAACACTAAAATGACCCACCTGAGCAAGAAGTGCCGCTGCCGCTGTAGCCAGTATTACACGCGCAAGTGTAGCCTCCCGCAGTATTGGTGCAGCGAGCGTTACTGTGGCAGTTGTTACTCCCTCTACATTCATCGATATCTATAAAATAAAATAAGAAGTACCAATATACAATTTAATAGTGTAGTTCACAGAAACCTGTCTCTTTGCAAAAAAAAAAATAAATAAATAAAAAAAAAATAAAAAAATAAAAAAACCGCTTTACAGTGCATGGGCATCTGTCGATTGTGCTGCATTCAGTTAAAATGTGTCTAAATCGTTACACTAATGACAGATAGTTTACTATCCCCACCTACAATATAGAATATCAGAGTGCACGCCCTTACTTAAACTTCGGTTGCCGGTGTGCCCTAACGATAGGCAATGGCCGTTCGCATGCCCCTTATTTAACCTTTAATGTGCTATGCTTTTTTAATCATAATGGTGCTATTTAAATTGTTAAACAGTTTAATAAGAACAAACACGGGGGGGGGGGGGGTGCGCACAACTTGTCTCACACCTGGGACAGTGCTATGGTGAGCAGTTCTCACTAAACTGTTCACTTTAACACTGTCACGTAACTTCAGTGTGACTGATGAAGGCCCAAGTGTTGGGATGAAAGCTCTCAGGTAGGCCTACGTTTCAGCTTATTGTGTAGAAATTGAACAGTTTTAAATTGCATAAATATGACTTAAAGTCCTCTTTTCACTGGACGGCGCCCTTTATGCGTCCCGCAGTACGGTCCAGTTTGAGAGTTTAATATAATACGTTATGTGCCGACAACTGTCCGATCAATGAGCATTCACTCTGCACATAAACAAAGTGTGTATATCATCACATTTTGCAACGAATATATAAGATTCTTCACTTTTTAGATAGAAAGGAAACAGAGCTTTACCCATCAATACATTTTTCAATTCAAAACTGGATTATTGCAATAGTTCTTGTTCGGAATACCTAAATATCAAATGAAAAAAAAATCAGTCTATTTAGAATTCAGCAACGTGTCCCTTCCGTACATCTCAGAAATCCGATCACATCACACAGTGTACATTTAAACTCCCAATGTACCCACCTGAGCAAGAAGTGCCGCTGCCACTGTAGCCAGTATTACACCTGCAAGTGTAGCTTCCATCGGTATTGGTGCAGCGAGCGTTACTGTGGCAGTTGTTACTCCCCGAACATTCATCTATATCTAAAAATGCAATAATACTAATACTAATAATAATAATAATAATAATTGTAAATGTCACACTCTGATTTGTTGTCAACAGATTCTGGTCTTTATTGTAAAATCTGTGTTAATTAGCGTATACCCTGTGAAAGGAAAGTTGAATGCAGTATTCAAAAAGACATTTATCCTGGCGGGTCCTGCACGAATCGTTGAACAAGTCTTTTACTCTGAAAATCGTGCTTCTTGTCTCTCTACATTTCAACAAAGTCTGTAAAGCATAAAAGAGAGTAAGACCTTAGATCTTTTTTTTTTTAATTTTCTGTGTCAAAAGTATGTATATTTTTAAAGACGAAGGAACAAAATGTGGTAATTGAACACATCGGCCACTTTGCTTGAGACATATTAAACCATTTTTCAGCAGTCAACACGAATCTCCCATCCATCCTGTTGACATGAAATTCAGATAGAATCAAAATTTAACTGTCAGTTTTCTACATTCGACTTTATTCATATTCTAGTTAGCCGCATTTCATTTTCAGTTCCATTTTGAATACAATTGTTTTCAAGTGATTAACGTTATAGTCAAATCCTATAAATAGCCGTTTATGCATATTTTATGCTCTTGGAGTAGAAAATATAAATATACGAGAGAACTCAAAAGCTCAAAAGAATGTTTTATGGAGAAGACAATTAACCATACCTCTGCAAAGTAAGCCTCTTCTCTCGTAGCCTGAGCGACAACCTGTAATACAACAGCAAGGTACATTATCCATTTGCTGAGCGATACGCAGCATATATGGTACAAAGGGGGCCTAGTCGGACTATATATCATCATCATCATCATCATCACTGTACGAAAGAGAAACGTGCGAAGTGCTCGAAAGAGAAAAGTTACTCAAATAAAATACATGTACAGTTGCCAACACTTGTCTTCTTTTACTGTAATGTTCTACGCTACAAAGTTAGTTAAACATTGTACACAAAATACATAGATAAATAATAAAAAAAAAGTTTTACAAAAAAATTATAAGTTATAAAACGCGTATGAGAAGTACTGAGAAGTACAAATCGCGTGAACGAAGACAAAGGGTTGCATCTCATATTTTGAAACATTGAGAGAATGAAGTCTGAAAGTTAACTTACTGACAATCCTTTGCACTGTATTCCTTACTGAGATAGAAAGAACAAAACATGTCACATATATAAACACGGGCTTATATATATATATATATATATATATATATATATATATATATATATATATATATATATATATATATTGAAATACATTCTGCGACACGTGACAGTAACTCTGTAAATTAAAAATTCAAGTTTATTACAGTGCTATTTACTGTCATACCAATATTGAATACATACAAAATATTTCATAATACTTCCATTCTAAATCATTATGTCAAAATAACGAATATTACAGGTTAGTCCGCGGGAAAAAAAATAGTTACCAATCCAGACGTATTTGTTACATGGTATCAGCAAGTAGGAAACTGAATAGATAAAATACACTGGTTTATTCAAATGTCACAAGTGCAGCATAAGACGTTTTCATATGCACTTACTGCGGCTCCAAAATCGTTTCGACCGTTTAAGGTGAACTTCAGGTTGTCCAAGGCTCTCATCAATCCTGTAAACAATAAGGTTGACTTCAGTTGCTTTAATAATTCCCGTATGTAGGTTTTCAAAGAAACGATTAGGGGGATATCCTGACCTCTTTTAATCTCTCCATCCTTCTCATTCTGTCTCTCTCTCTTTTCTCTCTCTCTCTCTCTCTCTCTCTCTCTCTTACACACACACTCACAAACACAAACACGTTTTCATCCCGCTCTCCTCCTCTCTCTCTCTCTTTGTCTCTCTCTCTCTCTTTCTCTCTCCATTTCACTTACCACAAGGACTGAAGCAGAACCAACAACATCAATGTCACCAGCAACTTGTACATATTTTCAAAATTCGAAACTCAGTGTTTACTGTCGAAGGAATCCGCAAAGCAAGTGTAAAGTCTGCGAAGAGTAGGGCCTTTATATATACCCCAAGCGTCTTGTAGACGTGTTTCTTTCGTTGCCAATATCAACATCATTTTGGATGCAATTAAAAAAAGCAAATTTTCAACCCTTCTCTTCATTAATCCGTAATTTGTCATTAGTGTTCTTCCTACTTTTGTGTTAAAAAATGAATACAAAGTTGTTACAAAGTCAACGAATGTTTGTACAGCTTGGGTAAACTAGTAAACAAGGTTTTGCGTCATGCAGTGTGTGACTTCATGTATACTGCAAATGTACATTTTCGATTTTTCTCTCTCTTTCCTTCTCTCTCTCTCTCTCTCTCTCTCTCTCTCTCTCTCTCTCTCTCTCTCTCGTTTTGCACCTTCTCAGTAAGTGATTTTTATGAGTCTAGGAGAACCCCCACCCGGACAATTCCCCTACCTCACAATTCCACTGCGGCAAATCCCCTTCCCCTAAGACGATTCCCCGACAAGACACCCCCTTCCCAGAAAAAAATACACTTATTTTGCATTACCTAATTGAAGAATTTGAACATTTCTTGAATATTTTACTGAAATTAGGAAAGAAAAGAATTGGCTTTCAACTACAGGATTCAGGAAGCTCATTAAAACCACCTTTACACTGGACGGCGTCCTTTTCGCGTCCGTTGTGCGGCCATGAAACTGTCTATGTCGGCGTTGGACGACCAAAGAACGCTCAGTGATCACTAAGATCGCAAAAAGAAGCATCACCGAGGACGCCGTGGTAGGCTTCAAGTTTTGAGCATGTACAAAAAAAAAAAAAAAAGAAAAAAAAAATCGCGCAGAAAACGCGATGGAGGATGGACGCTGCAGGGCCACTCGTGGTACAAAGAGAGGAAGCACACGCATTGTTTTAGTCCTAGAAAGGAGGCACAAGCATCACTTTGGTTGCAGAATGAATGTTCAAGATGCAGTTCTTGTGGCAGTTTTTGCAGAATACGTTGTGTCAGTTGGCCTTTTTTGTCTTTGGCGCCAGTCGACCCTTCTTGTAAAGACAACATTGGTCATATGGCTTTTTATCAGCCCATGCAGAACTTGCAATACAGTAGTTTGAAAAATGAAGGTTATTCCTGATTAATTTTTTCTTTTTCTGAAGATGTTCTTAATTGGGTGACCGGTTTAGAATTGATTATAAAAAACATTATAGAGAGAGAATATATAGGAAGGACGCCCAAACAATGCTCGTCAGTCTAGCAGGAGACAGAAAGATCATAGAATGGTTGCCACTGATCGCCGACGAAGGTACAGATAACGCGGGCAAGGACGCTCAATAGTTGCTCAAACATCTAAGTCGACACCGTGGGTTACAGGGGACGCACAAGGGAGGGAGGCAGGTCGCTCAGAGGACGCACAGGTCTCTCAGTGAACGCACAAGTGGCTTGCAGTTAAACACAAGTAGCAGTGGTTACAAGTAAAATCAAGATTTGGTCGTTCAAAGGACGCACAAGGGACGCAGAGACATTTAAAATGAGACACGGTTGCTTTGGCGACTATTGAGTGTCCTGACCATATTTTTGATCGTAGAAGGGACGCAGAAAGGACGCAGTCCAATGTAAAGGTGGGCTTTACGAGCATGGACATATCTGAGAGGTAATCTTGGATTATCAGATGCTGTGCCTCAAGTACACGTAGCCTAGCCTTAAGCCTAGGTCCCAACCGAGCGTACGGGCTGCTGCGTGTGGTCTACGAGCAAAAAAATGGGGAAAACGTAGGAGTTCGTGCGTGAGGAGCACGTCCATCGTGCGACTTTTGGAGCACGCAAACCGCACGTAGAAACTTTTTACCAATTACTTGATTTCTTCCCTGCGATCTAGCTACGTCCTAGCCGGACGCAATGAACCTAAAACCGTGCGTCTAAAACGTTGTTGGGACCAAGGCTTTACGGAAGATAAGTTATACTTAACGTTTTGCCGTAATAAAAGAAAATATGTTACCGTTATGTTATTATTATTCCATTTTTTCAAACTTTTTATCTCTGTTTTGATTAGTTTTTTTTATATTTGTTTTTTTTTTCTTTTTAGATAATATTATTATGTCATTTTATTAATAATGATAAAATATTACGAATGTCTGCGTCAAGCCCAAAGGGTAAAAAAAAAATAAAATGTTAAGTATTTACAGTACAACAATAATACCACCTGCAGGAGAAGAGCACCATGAGGAAAAAAAAGGATGCATGTAGATAAACGAATAAGAAACAAGAAATCTCGTATGATAATTTCTAATCTTTAAGATCGATCATACAAAAAGGCATCAGCTGCTGCTGGTTAAGCGTTGTAAGGTATACTTACGAATAATAAACTACTATCTATTTGAACGCTGAACCTCTCCTGTTTGGAATGTTTGTTGAAAAACACAGCATGTGTTAGTAAGTAAACGGTTAGTGCAAATACCAATTACGTATTGCGAACAGATGGTACAGAGAGATGAAATATTTATGTGGTGTCCTTGACAAAACGCCTGTTTTACATTGTTGAAAATATTTGTGAATACAAAGCTTCTAATTCACCTTTGCCTTTCATTTCATTATCTGAAGGTGAATACAAATGTTTCTTCTTGCTGAGTTCGCTTATAAGAGGGTCCCATGGAGGGGGGGGGGGAGTGATCACAGTTCTCAGGAAATAAAATCACCAATTCACAAATCAATGTGAATAATATCTTATTAATATTTAATTAATGCACTTACATGCACTTACATGTAAATGCGAGTTGAAAATCTTAACTACTGGGTTGGACATCGTTTAGTGAGTGACAAAGAACAAAATACAGCATTCTTGGGTTCTTCACAGATCATGCTAAATAAAATGAACAACTCACGCATCTCGGAAAATAAAAGTTCTTTTGACGAGCAACAAAAAATAACCAGTGGGACCCCTTTTTTACTCAACATTCCGTTGAGAAGGACAGGGTGAAAGTTAACGTCATTGTTAAATGGCATTAGTTTTCAAAGACCAAGGAGAGAAGATCTTGTCTACGGGAAAATAATGTCTATGACAATCACCGAAACTGTGTCGCTGGATAGGCACCGGGTACCAGGCGCCCTGGTTATTTGTTAACATTTAAAGGCTAAAGTTATGCCATCTGATAACAAAATTTCAAAACGATCATAACCACATTAGCGTTCTAACCTGAAGTTCTTCAGGATCGTGCTTTCATCAAAAATTAGAATTTAACCGAAACTGCATGTACAATATCTTATCAATTATTCGTTTAATAGCCATGGCGTGAATGGTGACAAATGGTTAGAAATCTACCACACGTAAATGATCTCACATGGAACACACCAAGTTGGACATTTCGTGAAAATGGGCGCTTTCGCTCTCCGAAACTCGCCTTCAGACTAAAGCTTGCAGCCAACGAATTCAAAAAGAGATGTTCTTTTAATGAACACGTGAAGCTTTTTATATCTTTTTAGTTAAATCTATTTCAGTGGCATTAAAACAAGACTGAATTTTGATCGGGAGAAAAATATTTTGACCAAAAGAGAAGTGCGTTTGATCTGTAAACAGTGCATACAGGTTTTTTTTTTTTTTTGTTTTGTTTTGTTTTCTAATTTATATTAGAGCCATCATCCAATTTTCTGGTCCCATGCATCATAATCAATAACCGTTTATCAACATTTACGGAAACAAATTGAAAACGGGTATCATCACCGATAAGAATGTGTCAACATTTATCTTAGTATACTGCAACCCAATGTCCACTTAGGTAAAGCTCGTGTCAACTCTGTTCTAAATGATCACAGACACTGTTCCTCTATGTTAATAAAAGAGACAGCTGTTCACTTATTGTATATGCGAATCCCAGCAAATATCGAGAATGTCTGAGTAAACAGTCACAGGTGATCCATCGTATTCGACTATGACACCTGTTCTGAAAATCAAAACATTATCACAAGGGCGAACAATGCTTGCTTTTAATTGAACGTATTTTAGCATCATTGGTGTATTCTAGTCTCTTATATTTTTTCGGGCGTAATAAAACAAGTGTTACCTCTATTTCCGAGCCATGACAGAGGTCTAATATCTCGAAAGTGAGGCAACGGTCAAGAACGTTAGTTTGGTATAAGGTTGTAAGCTCGTAAAATTGGCTTCTTTCATGACGTGTATAGCTTGACAAGCATCAATATTCAGCTTTTTTATTTCTAAATTTCAAACTAAAATAAAAATTACACACCTTACAATGAAAATCATTCTTGTCGGTCTGCCTGAAATCGATCCATTGCAGATGTTATAAATTCAAACTCGTAAACACACCTGCGTGACTTAATTCTCTAATGTTTGCTACGTTGACTTGTATGACCTTACCCAGGTATGGTGGTCATTAACGGACGCTGCATGTTCTGTACAAACACAAGGTTACCGAAATAGTAATGAACAACAAACGAATCCTCAGTCCAAGGCCCACGGGCACAAATCCGACAGATAGTATCTGAAGACTCGGACCTCTATTCATGACGCTATAAAAAGTACCGGTACTGGTACATCACAATTAAATGATAGATACACCATGAGTCACCGAGCTTAAGTATTACAAGTGTAATGGCGAGCCGAAGACTCGTATGTAATGGTTTCCTCACTGCAGAATCAGGTTCGAAGTTTGGGGTGGGACAGTATGAACGAACCGACCTTTTTGCCGGAAAATCACGGAAATCTCACTAAATTTAGAATATACTAGAGGATCTGAAACTCTCTTGATAGCCCCCTTTTCGCTATCGTACAAAAAAAAAAAAAAAAAAACTCTGGCATGTTAAATTGATTCGCCTGTCACTCGTTCACCCTCATTCCTCATCGTCTACAGTGGCAGATTTATGGGGAGGGGGGGGGGAGGGTCAGGAGGGTCCTGACCACCCTATGTCCACTCCAATAGTCCCTGCTTGAAATTAGAATTTTGACTAGCTGAATCAATAAGCCGTAACAAATGGCACCGTTCAAAATTAGTAAATATTTCACCGGAACCCGAAGGTGGGCTG